TTCATGAAATGCATCGTTAAAGGAGGAAGTCGCCGGCTGTGTTGGACTCTTACCTCTGTCACAAAGCTGGTGGTTGCATTGCTGAGTGTTTTCAGCATGGGCGTGGCCTCCGCGTAGAACAGAGACATCCTGTTGGCCATCTCGTTGTTGACTTCATTCTCTATGTTCAGCTGTGGGTGCAGAAATAACCACGAGGCTTCAGGTTTACTCCCACTGCTGAGCAGAAACGAGCGCCTACACTGCCAACATCAGGCTTCAGGTTTAGATGAAAAAACTAATCAGTTTGTTCTCGTCCTGACTCGGGTTCACCACGAGAAAGACCGAGTACGTCCTCCAGATACAAATCTGACTAAAACAGGAAAAGATTTTCCCCAGACTCACGTTCATGTTGTTTATCTGGTTTCTGCTGATGGTCCTTCTGTAGTAGCTGAAGTCATTCTGGATGGCAGGATTCCTCATCTACGGGAAGACAAAGAGACAATCCATCATTTCTCCATCACATACGCACACGTCAGTGTTCGATAAAACCGTACAGTACAACACACGAGGTGTCGGGATAAGGCTGACTGTGTGTGCGTCTGAGTTCAGCTCGAGTGTTTCCACAGACCTTGAGCTCATCGAAGCGCAGAGTGAAGTGGAGGATCTCAGCAAACTGTTTGGCCAGCGCCTGCTCCCTCTCCAGGTGCTGAGTGGGCGTGAGGGGCGGACACGTCAGGGACTCCAACAAACTCTGCAGAGCCTTCTCTGCACACACAAACACACACACACACTCTCTTTATTCATAATCTTAAACGTAATGAGAAATTTGACTGTAACGTGACCTGTTCAGTAACACAAAGGAGGCGTTTGTTCAGCACCTAGTTTGAGGGAGAAGCTGTAAAACCTCTTGAGTTTGATGACCAGCGGGCAGACGGAGTTCCACGCTTTCTCCTGCAGGCTGTGATCACTGGGGTTCTGGATCGCCTGGAACCAAAGAAACACTCATCAACCGTCACACGCATCAACAGCACGGAGTGACGCACACACATCTAAAATGGTAAACAGGCTTTCTGTATGATAACAGAAGCATTCACAGCAGTTTGAGCTGTGTGGTGGCAGGCACCTCTCCACTCGCTGTCGCTGTAAAGATGGAAACAGTTACACTTAAATAAAAGTCCGTTATTATTAGGGGTGGGGAAAATGGATACTGTGTAGCATGGTGATATTTTGTTTGCTAATAATGTATGGATACAGGGACAGCAGAAATCGATATTTTGTTACAAAAAGGTTTTTGTGCTCTGACTTCAGAGCATGTTGATCCTTTTTCTGAGCAAGAATCCTGACATTCCTTCACTGTCCAAATGTGTTTAACTTGTTTTTGGCAGCAATAAACATGACAGTTTACTTATTTTAATTTAAGACATGTTTTATTTTAATTAAGTTTAAAACTTTTTTATTTAATGTAAAATTATATTTTGTTTTAATTTACTTTCAAATTCTTCAGTTGCTGAAGGGGCTGCATAGTTTTCATAAACTGCATAGTTCAGAATAGCTATAATTGTACCAGATGGTTGATTCAGTTAAGTTGGACTAGACTGTAATACAAACCGTTCAGTTTGTCAACAATCAAACTGAAATGAGAGAAAGACTGAGTGTGAGACTTTGATATTAGAGAAAATGAATATTGATAAAGTTTACCTTTATGTACAGAATCTGAATATCGCAAAATATTTTTAAAAATTGCAATAATATCGTATCGTGCGTTAAGTATTGTGATAATATCGTATCGTGGGATGTATGGTGATCCCCACCTCTAATTATTATTATAGTTTTATATATTTTTCCATGTATGCAGTTCTTCTGTTCCACAGACTATTGGAATCAAAGTGAACAACTTAATAACTGCACAGAAGCGTCAGCAAAGCCCCCCCCTCCAGGACGACTGATTACAGTCAGAATTTACAGGACTTGACTTGCAGCTTCTGTGCAGCTGATTGAATTCACAGTCAGCTGTTTAGTAACGAGATTCTGCAAATGTTGTGGAGATTTTGAGAATCTGCTGTGAGCTGAGTTACTGAAGGAGAGCCAGAAAAGGCCATAACTTTGATCTCAGTGATCCCTGCATGCACAGCACACTGATGTGACTAAAATCTGCTTCAAGTGTAATGTGATTACAATAAGCCAAGAACAGTGAGGAGTAGAAATGCTCCAACACAGCTGAAGCTGTCGTGAAGCTTCGCTTGCATCAGTCCGACATCATAACTCGCTCGTACGGTTTGGGAGTTAGTGACGGGACAGCTGCCATATTCGGCATCACGGGATGAATCCAGAGATTTCCACTCAGGATTCCTCGCCATGCCGTGTCTCTGCGTTTCTCCTTACATCTCTGATCTCCTGGCCAGCCCCTTTGTAAGACTGCAGGCCTCCCAGAATGCTCTCAGACTCCTGGAGGACTGAATTCACCTGGTTCCACACCTCACGCTCGCCGTCTGTCGGCTGTGCATCTAAACACAAACATATATCAGAACACAAGCCAACAACACAAGCGTCTCTTGTATAATTACAGACAAACTTCAGTGGATTTTTTCCATATTGATGTGAGACCGTGTTAGTTAATGAAACGAGCACCAAGTGGAGGAAACGAGCGTGCTCGCTGAACGTGTTTGCTGCTAGAACTCGCCGTTCGTCTGAAATGGGAAACAGAACAAAAACGTTCAGCAGCACGACTCGAGTGAGGGACATCACTTCATACAATACAGCTGAGCTCTTTTACAGTCAAACCAACAAAACTGCCTTTAATGGTTTTAACTGCAAAAAGCCAAATCGCTGTGCAAACTGGCTCCATCATCTTTCAGCACCTCGAGCTGAATACACACTTCTTCAAACGAGGCCACATCTACGCCAATAACACAAACGTATCTGAATATGGCAGCTCACATTAAGGCAGATATTTTGAATATTTGACTGTAAAAGATGAGACATGGGCAGAGTGTGTGTGGGGGTCAAAGGTCAGTGTGTCTGCACAGGGTCATCCAAAGCGTGCCGTAGCCACAGAAGGAGCTCGAGCAACAGCTGTGACTGAAACAAACATCAGGTCTGATGTACGTATGAGCTCTTTGTCTCCTGCTGCGTGTTTATGACACCATGAACTTCTGCGTAACTCCTGCTTCTTCATCTCAGCTCTGGCAGCTCAGTGGTAAAAAAGTGGTAAAAAAGTGTGAGGTAATGCAAACTCAAGCCTAGCCAGAGCCGTCTAAGACTCAGAATAGAGAGCTGCTTATCATGACCACAGAGAGTCTAAATATAGAGCAGCGCTGACATTAAAACTGTGTCTGCGCTGCTTTGCATTTCAAAAACCTTACACTCCCATCATTTCCTCTCTGCTGAATAAACAAAGCCTGGGGTTGGCTACAGCGAGCGAGCTGCTGAAATGCCACTGTGGAGGCGTAGTGTGTGTGTGTGTGTGTGTGTGTGTGTGTGTGTGTGTGTGTGTGTGTGTGTGTGTAAACATTGTGTTTACATGATGTCACATTTGGGTGCATGAAATGCATCACAAACACAAAGAGGTGCATGCGGACGAGTTAGTAAAAGCAGACGGCAAAGGTCAAGGGTCAGATCCATTCCTCTTCTGCTTGGCACACAAAGAGAAGAGTTCCTGTTCTAAAGCAGGGCTGAAATTAATCATGAATTTTAATAACATTAGAAATGCAAGAAAGTTCACAGCGGCTGAACAATCTGACCCCTGACCAGCCGAGCGGCTACAGAGAGGCTAACGGGACGACTGGTTGAGGGGAGAGGAGAGTGTGGGAGCGAGAGGACAGGCAGAAGCTGCGCTCACTTTCAAAGTCAAGGAAAAAGTTTGGCCCCTGTTCAAACTCTGTGCAAGTGAGCACTTTTAATAGATTCCCCATTTGGATTCTGCAAGAGAGAGAAAAGAGAAAGAAAGGAGGAAGAGCACGTGTGAAAAAAGGGAGAAAAGAAAGTTGATTAGCGACGGGCGATCAGAGGCGATGCTGCGGGAGGCCGCGACCGAGCCAAGAGGGGGGCGAGGAAAAAAGAGGAGAGAATAAGAGGACGCCGTCACAGTTTGGAGAGCAGAGGCTGACGGAGAGAGAAGACAGAGCAGAGCAGGCTACACCTCCTTCTCCATCCAGCTGTGTCCCACCGCCCCCCCACACTTACTTTCAAAGTCCAGGAAAAAGTGTGGATAGTTCTCTATTTCCCTTGTTAGGACTTTTAGCAGGTTACCCATTCCAGCAAACCTGATGGTTAAAAAGAGTCGTCACCATAACAGATACCAGTACATACAGTTTCACAAAAACACGTTCAGTGTGGCTGAGACCAGGAGCTGGATATTAAAGGATGCTGCCGTACAGCAGCGCCTCTAAACACCAACCAGGCCTTTAATTAACTACCTGCAGTGAAAAGTTTCTAAACAGACAAAATTATCAATCAAAAGTTTACAAAATAAAATCAAATCAAGTTTTTTTTCTCTTCTTCTTCCTGATTGGCTGCCCCTCGCAAACAAAAGATTCAAATACAAGGTGGGTGGAGTCAGCTAAGCTTAAAGTGCGCTCTCGGCTCACGTATACGCCGACTTCATTACATGAAGGTTTGGCTATGTTTACTGTACCATTTGCAGGGTGGGAAAAACTGTTATTGTCCTTTTATTTTCTAAGTTTAATCCTTGCTGCCGACCTGCCGTCCATCGTTCCTTTGACAGAAATGAAACCAACCGTGCAGCAAGCTTTGCTAGCTGATCTGAAAATGCAGATGATGATTATCCAGGTGCATTTTATCGCCGTCTCTTCACACGTGTGTTTCCTGGTCAGTCGAGGCTGTGAAAGCAACCTGAGAAAAGTCTAGTTTCTTAACCTTTCTTTTGGATTCAGGCGTCTCTGAAATCAGCCAAATGCAGAGTCCTAAATTACAGTTACACTCTATAAAGCTTTTATTGGAGGCAAAAGGCAGCAATTTCCTGGGAAACGTCTCCCTCCCCCAGCTATGACGGGTGGTCACAGACTCTGTAATCACAGTGGGCCTAAACCTACAGCAGCATAACGTCAGGAACTCACAGAGATGCAAACAGTGTAACCCTGTTTATTTTAAAAACTGAATTAGCTGCTAGAAAAAGATTTTAAAGTCTGTGTTAGTATCTTTGGCACACTTGCATTTTTACACAGTAAAGATAAACACGAGTCTTCTTTTCTCACACGTTAACAGCAAACTTCCCTCGACTTAAGCCAGAGAGTGACAACAATGGAGACTCTGTGCAGCAGCGTGCACATGATAATCACACTGCATTTCTCTGCACAGCCTCCAGCAAGCTGTCCTCTATTTTTCAACCGTGGTATTCGCTGCACATCCTGCGCTCGTCATAAATTCAGATATAACTGTGTGCATAATAACAGGCTGCATACTGTTCCTACAGCCTTTGATTGGAGGAAATTATATACCTTAAAAACACATCAGATTATTAAATGCATGCAGAGCAGTCAGACTCGGGGTTGCACCAGCAGGGGGCAGTGTTGACGTATGCCTACATTCACTAACTACTGTGACGTGTCACGCTGGTACACGTGCTGCTGTGCAAGCCTTATTTGTTCAGGGCAGACTCTAACCTGTGGCTACGAGTCCGCAGCTGCTTTATCTGCTGTATCTGCAGCACGACTCCACCCCCCCACCCCTCAGGTACCAGTGAACCATTAAAACTGACAGCTGACTTTAACACTGCGAAGAGTATTTTCCCCTCTGAGATAAAACGGTCCAGTCAAGTACATTTGTGGTTGTTTTCATTTTGTGTGCACTGGGAATAAAAGACGATCAAACATTTAAGAAACAACCACGTGGTCTAAAGTCGTCATCATCGCTGTGATCGGTACCTCTCTGAAGTCTTTGCACTACGAGTCGCTTCAGTTCCTTTGGCTCAAAGCTGAGCCTACCTCACATTGTTTGGGGATTTGACCTGTTGCTGCACCTCTCTGACATTCTGCAGGATCTGGCTGCCACACTGTTACACGCGCTCGTGCACTGTTACACGCTCTCGTGCACTGTTACACGCTCTCGTGCACTGTTACACGCGCTCGTGCGCTGTTACACGCTCTCGTGCACTGTTACACGCGCTCGTTCCTAAACTACACCAGCTCACTTTTAACGGCCTACAGAAAACCGATTCATGTATATACATGTGTACCTACTCACACAGTCACTTTATCTACAGTAAAGCTATAATAAAGGTGATCTCAAGTTTTATTCTATTGTATTAAAAGTTGAACACAACATCTGTCACATGTATAGTTTTTTTTAAACTGTACAAAGACGGGAGAATTATTGGACTTTGTCTTCAATTAACTAAATATGAGATGATAAAAACCAGCACGCACTGTAGGTGTGAGACCAGTCAGT